TATTCTAACAATACCCATATCCTGAGCTATAGGCACACCCTCAACCACACACTCAACCTCATCCACAGCCTCACGAACACTCCCACGCTCACCCACAGCCTCACACACAATCTCACCTTCACCCTCACGCTTGTCCTCACACTCAATGACACACTCACCCTCACCCAAAGCCTCACCCTCACCCACAACTTTACCCTCACATACCCTCGCCCATACCCTCACCCCAACTCTCACCCTGCACATCAACACCACCCTCTCCCTCAACCGGACACTCACCCACAGCCTCACCCATACCATCACTCTTACTGTGAAACATACCCGCAACCTACCCCTCACGCACACAAGCACCACACCCACATCCTCACCTTCACCCACATCCTCATCCTCACGCACAATCTCAGCCTCAGCCATAAACTCACCCTCATCTTCACCCACACCCTGCCACTCACCCACCCCTCATCCACATCCTCACTCTCACCAATAACCATACCCACATCCTCAACCTCAACCACACCTTCACCCAAATCCTCACACTCACCCACACGCTCACCCACACCCTTACCCTCACCCACAACATCACACTCACCCACACCCACACCGTCGTCCTCACCCTCACCCACAACCTAACCCTCACCCACACCTTCACCGACATGTCCTGTTGTTTTGTTGTTTGAAATACGATTTGATGTAGACTTTGCTCTGTGCAAATTGTCTGTCAATTTCGTTTAGAAACGCAACATTCACTTTATAGTAAATCGTGTGAAAGATTTCAGACGGCGGCCCAATGTGCAAGGGGTAATCTAAACTACAAGCTTTATTGCACCGTTACGCAGATTATAGAAGGTGACTGGCGAAATACACATTTTGTTACACACAGTGAGACGAGGTGAAAGGCAAACTACGGATTTCTCTCAGTCAGCCGATACTGTTCCCTTTCTTTAACGTATTTCCTTCCTCGGCAGCAGGGAAACAGTTGGCACCGATAAGTATCCTGCTTTTCCCGGCAGATTTCAAGCATCCCCGAGCTTTCCCCGTCATCACTCAAACCAGGCCTGAAGTAAGGATAAACTATCTCAGTGAAAACGGAATAGAAAGTGTGGAGATGAGATGCGTTGTCAGCGTTGTAAAATGATACCCGTCCAATCTCACAGTCCAGGTAAACTCCCAGCTTCTCGAATCTCTGTGTCACGGGCAGGGTGGTGCGACCATTGGTCAGAGCTTCGTATTCACCCCTATATGTCAGGGTCACAGCCCAGTAACCCTCCTCCGGTACCACAGCAGTTCTCCTTTTCCTGTTAACAGACACTCTGGCCACTCCCACAGCCCATTCGGTCTGGTTGGCCACTTGCACCTCCCAGTAATGTCTCCCTGATGTGAAGCCATTCGATCCCAGGATACAGATACTGACATCAAACCTCGACTCGTTGTCATCTCGCTTCTGCGGTGTGTCCAGGAGACTCACTCTCTTCAGGTCCTCAGTCACGGTAAGTTTGGGATGGGCTGTTTGAGGATCTAGAGTCACATCGGCTGGAGAGGAGAGAGAGAGAGAGAGAATTTTGCACTGAACACGGCAGGTTGATGTGAATATCGTGTTTCCTGTTATTAAGTCTCTTACCTACACAGCGGCGAAGCCAATTCCTCTCTGCAAACAAGAAGAAAGGAGAGGTGGTCAGGACTCTGTTCAGTATAAGCATCATTCCCTGTTTCACTCTCCGCTTAGTGAGGACACGGAAACGACTGGCTCAGTGTGAGTGCTAACTGGTCATGTTTACTGAACTCCCGGGACACCAGCCCACAGTCTAAAGTGCGTGATGCCGAATATCAAATAACGAGATTTCTGTTTCCAATGCAGAGAGATGGAGAAACAACACGGTCACAATAATGGACAAGGATTAAGGTCCTGTGTGGAGCAACACAGGAAGCTGTGAGTGCAGTGTGACCAGGGAAGAGATAGTTTCTCCTCCGACACGAAACGAGGAAGAAAATGTAGAGGAGAGAGCAAGGCAGACGAGAATGGGAAGATTAGCAAACAGCTACAGTAACATAATAATAATGACAACAATAATCCTTCCATTTGATACAGCGCCTTATCACACCTTGGAGACGCCGCAAAGCGCTTCACAGAGTATACTGAAAGTGAATTGAGTGTATCTTTTGAGGGGGAAACAGAAAAGCCAAATGCACACAGCGACATTCTACAAACTGTCGTGGATTCAAGCTACCAATGTATTGCTTTTTTTAGAATTGATACAATTCACAAACCAGTTAGAACAATCTCGGGCAAAGATGGTGAGGACTAGAAAAGCAATGAAGTGATAGACCAGTAAACAATCAGTTCAGTCAGTGGATAAAGAGTGGATACATTGCCAATTAAATATCCCAGAAGACGGAATGGGCTTGGATGTGAAATTGAAATGAGCATTAACAAAGAGATGTATACAAGTCTTGGAAACAGTGTGAAGGAGAAGATCGGGGAAATCGAGGGTGTAACATCCGAAAATTGTTACAGCAGGGGCGAGAGGCATCTGCATGAAGCTGTGAAGACAGGTGAGCCTTTCCATGGTTTTCTTTTTGTGTCGCTTTTTGGATAAATTTCTCTCTCGCTCTTTCTCTCTCGCTCGCTCTCTGCGTATTTCCAATTAATGAACATGTACATTTCTGCGTCCTGTGTCTGTTGTCTCTGTCTGTCTCTTCGGCCGCGCCTTTGGCCACCATCTTGGCACTCCCCTGCCTCTCCTCCACCCTCGCTATTCGCAACCGCCAACTCGGGTCCAAATCCTGAATGTCCAGCGCCTTAGGATATCTTCTTGATGTGAAAGGCGCTTTGTAAAAGTTATTTTTTATTTTTGTATTTGTATCTCTTTGTCTAAGATTGGGAAAAACACAGTTTGCAGGTAGTGTAAGGGACGGTGAGAATCGATGAAGGTGTGTGTAGGGGAGAGTGTGTGCATAGGGGAAGATGTGAGTGAGGGTGTGCATATAATGGAAGGTGTGTGTACAGGGGAGGGAGTGTGTGGAGAGGAGCGTGAGTGTTTTTAGTGTATGGAAGGATGTGTGTATATAGGAGAAGCTGTGCCTGTCGGGGAGGGTGTTTGTAAGGCAGGATGTGTGCACGTATTGGAGGGCACGTGTGTATGAAAGGGTCTGTGTGTAATGTAGCATGTGTGAGTTGGGGTGGATGTGTATTTGCAGAGAAAGTCTTGTGTTGGACAGAGTGTTTGTGTGTGTGCACGAGATGGTGTGTGATTCGTGGGATGGTGTTTGTGTAGGGCTCTGTCCTCGGTCCCCTCCTCTTCACCCTCTACATGCTCTCCTTTGGTGACCTCATGGGCAGACATGGGGCAAATTTCCACACGCATGCGGATAGCAGCCAACTCTACCTCTCTGCCTCCACACTCAACTCCAGTACTACTGCTGTTCTGACTGACTGCCTGTCCGACAGCAACTCCTGAACGAGGGACAACTTTCACCAATTCAACGTCAGCAAAACAGAGGCCCTCCTGATTGGCTCGCGCCAGCGGCTCCGCACCTCAGATGCTCCAGCATCGACATCCACGGCTGCATACTCAACCTCACAGCAGTCAGGAAACTGGGTGTCGCGTTAGACCCGGAAATGCCCTTTCTCCCCCACATCCGCGCCATGACCGCCACTGCTTCACACCACCTCCGGAGCATTGCCAGACACCGACACTGCCTCAATCCTCAGGCTGCCCAAACCATCACACACCCATTCGTCACATCAAGACTGGACTGAGGGAAGTCCCTCCTCACTCGGTCTTCCCAACTCTTCTCTCCACAAGCTGCAGATCATCCAAAACTCTGAGCGCATGTTCTCTCGCGCACCCGGCTCCGTGACCCCATCACTCCCACCATCCCTCAAAGGATGGTGCCGTCTATGGCCTTCCCCCCCCTACCTCTCTGACCTGCTGACTCCCTACCCACCTGTCCGTTCCCTCCGTTCAGCGGGCTCCGGTCTGCTCAATATGTCCCGCACGACCCGCCCTACCATCGGTGGCCAGTCTTTCAGCCTCTCTGGCCCCACACTCTGGAAATCCATCCCACGGTCCCTTCACCTCGCTTACTCCCTTGCCTCCTTCAAGGCCGGTCTCAAGAATCTTCTCTTAGAGAGTGCCTTTAGTCGCCCTCCTACCTCTCTGCCTTCCCTCTGCCCTACACCAACCCTAATCCATGCTCGGGCCCCGACATTTAACTGTTCAGCGCTTTGGTATGTCCTCACGACGCGAAAGGCCCTCTGTAAATGTAGTTTTGTTGTTTAGCGGGGGATAAGTTTTCGTATGGGACCGTGTGTATAAGCTAGTATGTGTGTTTAAGGGGTTTTATGAGAAGGGGAGGTTATGCGTGTAGGGGAGTGCGTGTGTAGGTGAGGGCATGCATGTAGGGGAGTTTGTGTGTAAGGGGATTGTGTGCTTTGGGGAGCATGTAGGAGAAGGAATGCGTAGGGTTGCGTATATATGCGAAGATAGCTCTTTTTGGGGTTGGATGTGTGTAGGGGATGATGGGTGTCTGGCACGGGATGTGTCTCGGTAGTGTTTAGGGGAGAATGTATGTCTGCAGAGGATGGTGCGTGTAGGGGAGGATGTATACAGTGGAGGGTTGGGTGGGGGATGTGAGTGTCTATAAGGGGATGGAGTGTCTTGGTGATGATATGTGTTTGAAGGAGCAGCCGTGTGTTGGAAAGTGTGTGTGGAAGGGAGGACATGTCTGTGTAGGTGGATATGGGGGAGGATGTGTCTTAGTAGGGGGGGTGTGTGTAGGATAGGATGTGTGTTTTGGGTATATATGCCTTTATAGGGTGTGTGTGTGTAGGGGAGGATGCTTATGTGCAGTAGACGATTTGTGTACAGGGGAGGGCGTGTGTCGCGGAGGTTGTGGGTTTTGTGGAGGGCGTACCTTTGCAGGGGAGGGTATGTATAGGGGATGATGTTTGTACATAGTGCAGAGTCTGTGTATAGGGGATAGTGTGTCTAGGTGAGCGTGCGTCTTTGATGGCAAGGTGTGTGTAGGGGAAGATACGAGTCTGCAGGTAAGGGTGTGCAAGTACGGGATGGTGTGTGTATGGAAGTGTCTATATGTAAGGGATGGTGTTTGTTGGGAAGACTGAATGTGTATGGGATGGTGTGTGTCTGCAGGGGATGGAGAGTGCAGGGGTGGATTCGTGTTTTTAAGGGACGTTATGTAGTGGATGGTGCATATGCAGAAGAGGCAGTGTTTGTTACTGAGGGCGTGTGCGTCGTGCAAGTTGTGTGCATAGGGCAGGGTGTCTTTGCATGGGAGGGTGTTTGTAGGGGAGGAGGATGTGTCTTTGAAGGGGACGGTTTGTATTGGAGAGGATTTGTGCATGCATGTGTGTGTGTGTACGGGATGGTGTATGTGTAGGGGAGGGCTGATGTAGCACAGTGTTGTGTGAAGTGGAAGGTGTGTGTGTGTGTGATTCGGATGGTGTGTGTTCAGTGGATGCTTTGTGCAGGGGATGGTGTTTGTTTAAAGGAAAGTGTGTGTGTGCAGCGGAGAGTGTGTGTTTGTAGGGGCTGAACTGTGTAGGAAAGGATGCTTGTTGGTCGGGGATGGTTTGGATAAGGGAGGAATTGACTTGATAAGGGAGCGTGCGTGTTGTGTAGGATGTGTATGCAGGGGAGTTTGTTTGTGTTGGGGAGTGTGTTTTTTAGCGTGGACGTGTGTGTAGGTGAGGGCGTTTGTGCAGGGCATAGTGTATGCGGTGGTGTGTGTGTAGTGGAGATTGTATGTTTATGGGAGGAAGTGTATTTGAAGGGGAAAATGTGTGTAGGAGTTGGCTTGCACATGGTGTAGGGTGTGTGTGCAGGAGAGGGCGTGTGTGTTGGGTAGGTTGTGTTTGAAGGGTAGTTATGATTTTGGGGGAGAGTGCGTGAAGGGCAGTGTGTGTGTAGGGCACAATGTTTGCATGTAGGGGGTGGATTCTGTTGAGGAATATGTGTGTGTATAATGGGAACTCTCCTCGCCGGCCTTCCCGGCACCTCCCTCCACACTGCAGGTCATTCAGAACTCTGCAACTCGTGTACTGTCCCGCACCACACCTCGGTACCACATCACACCCACCCTCGCACTCACCCTCGCTCGCCTCCACTGGCTCCCCATTCCACAGAGGATCGAGTTCAAGATCCTCATCCTCACCAGAAGGCCATTCACTGCCTCGCTCCCTCCTAACTCTCTGAACTTCCATCCCACTACCTACCTGCTCGTACCTCCGTTCCTCTGGCTCCGGTCTGCTCCACATTCCACGCCCCAACCGCCCTACCATCGGTGGCCTTCAGCCTCTCAGCCCCGAGGCTCTGGAACTCCATCCCCCAGTGCCTTCGCCGCTTACTCCCTTTGTTCCTTCAAGGCCGTTCTCAAGACCTTTCTCTTTGACCTTCAGCCTTCAGTTCCCTCTCGACTCTCTACACCCTCCTCGCTCCCCCCTTCCCTCCCCTACCCTGACCATTTCCCCCCAATGCTCGGGTCCTGATCCAACTGTACAGCGCCTTGGGACGTCCTCCCGACGTGAAAGGCGCTCTAAAAATGGAAACTTGTTGTTGTTGTTGTTGTGTGTAGTGGTGGATATGTGTGCAGGGAAGGATGCGTGTATGCGTTGCGGATGCTGTTTTTATAGGGGAGAGTGTGCTTAGATGAGGTATTGTCCGTAGGGCAGAGTGCGTATAGGGAAAGATCTAAGTATGTAGTGGATGGATTGCGTTGAGAAGGATGTGTGTGACGTGGCGGTATGTGTAGGTGAGGATGCGTGTGTGCAGTGGATGGTGTGCGTACCAAGGAGGGTGCATGCAGGGGAGGGGGGTGACTGTAGAGGAAGCCGTGCCTTTGTAGGTTTTAGTGTGTGCAGGGGAGATATTGTGTATGTCGGTGATGGTGTGTTTTTTGGAGTATGTGTGTTTGTAGGAGAGGTTTGTGTAAAGGAGTCTGTGTATAGGCGAGGATATGTTTTTATGGTTGGACGTATGTAGGGGATGGTATGTTTCTGGAGAGTGTGATTGTGTCTGCAGCGGAAGGTGCGTTTACGGAGAATGTGTCTGTATGGGAGGGTGCGTTAGGTGAGAATGTGTTCAGGGGAGGGTGTTTGTAGGGTGTGTGTGTAGGGGGTGACGATATGTGTTTGTAGGAGACGGCGTGTGCAGAGGTGGGTGTGTGTATTTAGGGATTGTGTTTATGCGTAGGAGATGAAGTGTCTAGGGAAAGTTGTATCTTTGTAGGGGAGGGTGTGTACGTAAGGGAGCATATATTCTTGTAGTGTCTAGGGGAGGATACGTGAGTGTTTCGTGGACGGAGTGTGTATAGGGGAGGTTGTGTGTAGGGCAAGGTGTTTGGGGAGGACGTCTCTTTGTATGGCAGGGTGAAGGTAGGGGAGGATGTATATATATAATATAGTGTGTGTGTGTATAGTCAGGGTGTGTTTCTAGGTGAAAGCATGTCTGAATGGCATGGTTTGTGTAGGGGAGGATACGATTGTGTAGGTGAGGGTGTGCGAGTAGGTGATGGTGTGCGTAGTGGAGGTCGTGTGTGTACAGAAGTACCTGTGTATAGAGGAGGGTATGTGTAGTGGAGATTGTGTGTGTATGGAATGATGTGTGTCTGTGGGGACTGGAGTGTGTAGTGGATGATTCGTGTTTATTGGGAAGATATGTATAGTGGAGGGTCTGTATATTGACGTGGGAGTTTTTGTGCGTCAGGTCATGTGCGTAGTGTAGGGTGTGTGTTTAGGGTAGTGTGTGTTTGTAGCAGAGGGCGTGTGTAGTGGAATGTTTGTTTATGACAGGATGTGTCTTTGTAGGAGAAGTTATGTGCCGGGGCGGATGAGTGTGTGTGAAGGGGAGGATGCGTCTTTATAGGGGAGCGTGTATATTGTAGAGGATGTGAGTAGTTGAGGGTATGTTTACGGGAGAGTGTGACCTTGTAGGGTAGTGTATTTACGAGAAGGCGTCTGCATAAATTAGGGTGTGTGAATAGAGGAGGGTGTGTTGGTAGGGGAGACTGTGTAGAGGAGAGTGTGTTTTGTAGGGGATGGAGTCTGTAAGAGATTATGCAGGTTTGTAGGAGAAGTTTTGTGCTTGGGTTGATGTGCCATTGTAGAGTATGGCGTGTTTAGGGGAGGATGTGTTTGTAGGGGAAGTTGTATCTTTGTAATGGTGGTTGCGAATAGAGGAGGATGTGCGTGTAGGTGACGGCATATGAGGGTAAGGCTGTGTGCGGTAGTGTTGAGTTTGTTGAAGATGGCATTTTACGGTGAAGTGTCTGTGTATGGTAGGCTGTGTCTTTGTTGGGGAGGGAGTCTTTATGGAGGATGTGTGTGTGTTGGGATAGAATGTGTGTATAGGAAGTGCGTGACTGGAGCAGGGAATATGTAATTGTAGAGGTTGAAGAATTGAGGGGTGGATGCGGGATTTTAGGGGAAGGGGTATGTAGGCAGGGTGTTTGTAGATTAGGGAGTTTCTTATAATTGCAGGGGTATATAGGGAAGGTCGAGTGTATATGGTACGGTTTGTGTCGGGAAGGATATGTGTTTCTAGGTGATGGAGTATGTTGAGGAGGATGTGTCTTTTTTCGTGAGGGCGTGTGTAGGGGAATGTATGTGTAGGGGAGGATATAATAATAATCCTTGCATTTGATATAGGGCTTTTCACGTCGGGAGGACGTCCCAAAGCGCTTCACAGAATATACTGTAAAGTGAATTGACTGTATTATTTGTGGGCGAACGTGGAGGATCGCGTGGTGAGGGGGGGAGGGGAGGCATGGTGGGGAAGGGTGCAGGGGGGGATGTGGCAGTGGAGGATAAATAATAATAATCATAAAATATATCTTGCATTTGGTATGCGCTTTCATTTTCGCGTCTCAAGCGTTCACAGAATATATGTAAAGTAATTGACTATATTTGTCGAAACGAGCCAATTGCACACAGGATGTCACACAAACAGTAGTGGATGAAATGACCAATTTATTATTGTTTTGTTTTCGAGGGATTATTATTAGACGTGTGGAGTAAGGAAAGTTGCCCAAGGTTTCGCTCTGCCTGGAGTTGAACCCAGGTGTCTCGCTTGGAAAGAGAGTGCTCTAACCACTGAGCGACAGGACTCCACAAGTTTGATTGTGTAGTGGTGGTTCTGTGTATAGGGGAGGGTGTGTGTGTAGGGAGGGTGTGCCTTTTAGGGCAGGTTTTACGGGTGGGTGTGTGCGTATGGTAGTGTGCTTGTGTAAAGGAGAGTGTGTGTTTGTAGCGGAGTTTGTGGGATTGTTGGTGAAGGTGAGTTATGGGTGGATGTGTCTTTTTAAGGACGGATGTGTGGAGAGGCCGTACTTTCAGCCACTGTGCCCCAAATCTCTGGAATGCTCTCCCTCAATCCGGCTGCATTATGCCCTTTCCTCCCTTTTTCAAATCTCACCTAAAAATATTTCTCCTCGACCGTGCTTACGGCGACTTCTTCCCCAACACATCGTCACTCTCCCCCGCCCACACCACCCCCACACTACCCCACCCAGTAATCTTGGGCTTACTGTACCGGCAGTTTTTTTCGTAATCTGGACTACCAAATTGGTAAACGTCAAAACGGAGAAGAAGAAAAGGAGTAAGACACCACCAGTGAGCTGTGGAGAAGAAAAAAAAACACTTATTAGATTGCAGATTCATAATAGTTTCCTGAGAATAAGAGAAAGCTCCAGGAACACTAGGCATGACATAATACAAAATTGAGTACAAAATTATATTATATTATTATGCGTAGAAGAATTGGGAATGCTGACAAGTGGGGAGTTGGCAAAGTCGACGTGGATGTGACGTCCGCGAC